CCTATATTATGTAGTTATGATTTAATGTATTAATTTATTGCATTTACTCAGTGACTACGTAGAAATGAAAATGTGTACAGCTTGAATCATCATAACCTGCATATCTTGTATCAAAGATGGAATAAAGAGGTTATATACCAGCAGGAATTTACGTAGGTGGTTTCATAATAATGAGAATAATTTACATATTTTTCATTGACACACTATTTTCAATCTTTTTAATTAAATATCTATTTCACTTATCCTTTTAATAATTTTAGTTTTTTAAAAATTAAATTGTATTGACATTTTTTTCTTTTGAATATTATTCATAATGAGGTTCTTTGTGTCAAGGTGCACAAACATTGAATTTAAAACAAGTTATGATAATAATTTTTTATCAAAAATTGATATTAAAGAAGAAAATAAGAAGAATATCAATTAAAAAAAATTAGATTTTAATTGTGTAAGATTCAATGGGGTTAGTAAAAGAATTTTTAAAAAAAAAAAGAATTTGGACCATACTGGCATGCTTATTTTTCTCAGAAAGTCAATATAAAAATTTTAATACTTTTCCCTCTTATATTCCAAAGACATTAAAATAAACTAAAAAATAATTTCAATTTATAGATTTTATAAAATAACAACATTTCAAGTTGTCCAGTAAAGGTATTTTCAATTAATTATTAATGGAATTTTTCTACTTTATTACATAAACAACTACCCAATTAAATCATTGGAATGTACATCTAAATTTCTTAGAAATTTGAAAAAAAAATCATTAATTACCGAAACGATAGTATAAATTAATCGTTCTATTATAAATAACTATAGAGAAACTCCTATCCTGCCCAGTCATAAAATAATAATCTTCATAGTAGAATTTTACCGATTTTACCTCCTTTGATAATAGTTTATTTTAACAGCTACCGAGACTACTTAATGAAGGGAGAAAAGAAAAACCGAAATGACTGGTAAACATGAATGGTCCTCAATGATTGAGATTGGCACGAGCGCATGGAATTGAAGGATACGAAAGAGGAGGAGCAGGAAGACGAGAACAAAAACGTACGTTCCGAGGTCATCGAATGGGAAGCCGTTAAAAGTAGTGGGCAATAAGCTTGCTGCCCTACGGACCGTGAATAGTCAGTGCACAGAGCAACGATTTTATAATTATTGTACCTGCCATCTCTACCTTGAAACTTGCCGTCTAAGACCTGAACTCTACGTTCTAACTCTATTATACACTACGCTATTTATTTCAACTTCACTTATAAATAAGTTCAGTTTTTCAGTCATTTTATTTTTTTTTTATCCCACCGGAATATTTAGTATCCATTTTTCTTGTGCAATTATCATAAGAAAATTCTTGAACTTTACTTGAATTTTTTATCAATTAAACTGTTTAAAAAATTAACTATACTTGAATGTATTAAAAAAATTTTAAATTACCACATTTTATTGAAGTCTCTTATAAATAATGTTTGTGTTTGGAGCACGATGATTGATGTTTTCATCTCAAAATGAGAATTGATTTTATCAGACTTTCCAAGAATTAGTTGACACATGGACTAACAATTAGATCATACAATCTTAAGAATTTTATTTTGAATGCTAAAAGATATTTTTTTAATTTGATTTCTATTTAATACTCTTTCTATTTAATTGACATTATTTATGAGACACTCCAATAATTGTAAATTATTCTAACAACTGAATCAAAATGTTCATCTAGAATATGATTGATTTTATTCTCCAGTCTGATTTTTTTATAAATCATTTTATCAATAATTCAAGCAATTTTTTTTATACTTTTTGCTTAAGTTTTCCGAAAGAATTATATATGTATAGACATTAAATATGTGATGTTAATTAATTGATGATAATTACACTCTTGCATAGTATTCTTATCTTATTGTCACGACCTTGAAATGAAAGTCAACTAATCCAACAAAAAATATTTCATTTTTAATTACATATTACAGTCGAGAAAGAATGACTATATAATTTAAATATAAATATTTAAAACATAGTTTAATAATTGTCCTAGGTCTATTTTTTTAATGTTCTTTGTTTTTTATTTCCTCTTGTTCTTTACAATAATATTGACTGTCTTACCAGAATACAGGAAGGGTGTCAGTATGTGTTGATCTTAGATAATATCATTACGTCAAATAAGTATTGTATTAAAAGATCAATATCTTGGTATCTTCAATGTACTCTGATTAATTGTTGAAATATTTTTAAGTATATCTAAACCTTCAAAAGGAAGGTAACAATAATGTATGATAAAAAAATGTGTTAATCTTACGTTTGTTATTAAAGAATCGTTAGAATTCAAAGTTTATGAAGGTAAAATTACGGCAATTTTCAAATTATTCGAGTGTTAATTAATAATTTAGAATCAATACAACATTTTGAAAATGAAAATGATACGTAATTTACCTTAAATTTTGACAATAAAATAGTATACCTACAAGCCTTTTTTTTTAACCATCTAAAGAAGTTCCAGGCTATCACTTCAAATGTCAGAGTGATATCTTCTTAAAAATACTCAGGTTTTTAAAAGATATTTTTTCTATTTTTGATAATGAATTTTAATTAAAATGGCTCTTTAAATAATTACTAGTAATATGTAATAAAACATTCATCCAGATGTAATATATAAAAAAAAACCTATGTTTTCTTATCACAATTTACATTTAATTTATATGTCTCAGGTGTTAGACAATTATCTTGATGCAATAGCTATAGAATTTATTCGAATTAAAATTACACCTGTATTATATCAGAATCTACAACAAATAGAACATAAGATATGCAGCAAGATTCAACGTGAAAACTTGACCTTGATCGATTTTATGTCGACATGTCAAAATAGTAATATACAATAATTCATTTTCCAACAGTATCTATACTTATTGATAAAAATGTGGATGTTCAATCAAAAGTATGATATAAATACATACTATTAATTTGGAAATACGTAGTTGATATAAAATTTTTCATAGAACCTTCAAAAAAAATACAACACATAATATCAAATATTTCTATTTTGTAAAATTGATATCATTATTGTATCAAAGAAATTGCACGTAATTTGGTTTGTCAGTTAGACAATTAATTACCAGACAAATAACTATAAAATTCCATTCGGTGATTAGATATCAATGTTCTAGATTATCACACCATCAGTAGTATTATCAGAAATTTTTCTTCTATCTTAATTGATAATTTTAATTCACTTCTCAAATAAAATTAAATCGTTTACACAATTATGTTTACTTATGTACTGCTTTACAGAAAGTTTGTCTCCTATTGATATGTTTAATCAATGATATTCAGCTAAATTCAGTGAAGTTATTTAAACATAAATAGCTTTTAAATGGCACAAATTTCATTAATCTAATTACAATTACAATAAAATTATATAATTAACTTTGGCACGAGAATTGTAAAAAATTATTGAGTAATAAAGTTTTTACTCATTTTACCATCATGGTTACTTAATGTAAATAAGTTTGCATATTTCTTCAATTATAAATTGTAAATTAAATGAATAAATTATTCAAATCACTTCATATCATTCACTGTATTCTATTTTTAAACAAAATAAAGAAATAAATATATATTAAATAAAATTACTCACTGAAAGTAGAATTTGATTGATCATTTCTAAACTTTGATGTATTGTTGAATGAAAAGTTCAATCACACCGGTTTTAAGCGATATTGTAATATTTTAATGAGTCAATGATGAATTTTTAATTTAACACGTCATTAAATAGACTGTATTGAATGCCAAATTGATGCATGCGTATAAAAAACAATTAAACACATATAAAACAACAAGACAACTTCACTGTCAATTCAAGACTGACGACAAGTCGCCACTAACGAGTTTTCGTTGGTTCAAGATTTACTCGGGTGTTTTCGCTCCGTTCACGTGACTTCTCGTATATTATCGGTTATATTCGGAATTTCTCGGGTTGATCCGTTCGGAACTAGCGGCTTTCGAGCTGCTGCGCTCATATGATTGTCAAAAATGTTATTTATTTCCGCATCGCAATGTTATAAATACTGTTATTTATATCATAAAATTCATTTAAACACAAAAAAAATAATAATTAATAATACGAAGATTATTTTCTTCCTGGATTCGAGACATATCATCTACTCCGAATCATTGACATTTATTTGGAGTATGCTTTTTTTTTCTTTCAATGAACGAATCTGAAATAACACCAGATAAATAATTTTTTATCAAACAATAAAGTATTTTTAATTTTAAAATTACACTTTATGTCAGTGTATATTTTCTTTTACCTTGTCATTTATTATTTCACTCATGTCATAATGAATGACATATCTAACTGCGGTTTTTTACAATTTCATGTTACAATCATTCTTGGTAATAATTACTCTTAAAATTTTCCTTTTTAATTTAATAACATCATGTAAGAATTGAGTATAAAAATATTTCTTATAGTTTGAATTTACTGGTTTGTTTCAATCTAATGTCAACAAATATTTATCACAAAGTGTAAAGACATAGAAACAACAGTACTTTAATGTCTTTATACATGAATATAAATATATATATATATATATATATATATATATATATTCGATGTAAACAACTCATGTCTCTCAGCAATCCCGTTCGAGTAACGACGAGGAATCGATATTTTTCCAGGTAACCGTACAACACATTGACCAAAGACTAGACTCACACCTGCTTCATAAGAAAACTCAAATTTGCTACGGACAATTTTTAGTTTTTTTTATTCAACTAAGGAAACAATTGCCCAACCATAAATCTTATTTAGAAATTTTTTTCTCAAATATCTGTTAAAGGAAATCAGACACGTTTTTCAATTCAAACAACGATACTCCACGAATGTTTGAAAAAATTACTTTACCATTATCTCAATTGGTTTAATTAATATCTCTGGTAATTAATGGCAGATTAATGTGTTTATGTATAACATAAAAATACTTAAGGAGTAAAGTAATAATTACCGTCGCTTCCGAAACCAATTTGGCAGTTTGAATCCGATCTTCATGATGACTTGATAGTAAATCCACTCAAAATACACAAGAATCATGAGAACAAATTGAACATTATTTAATAAAATTTTCACAAGGCCTTGATAAATCGCACGAACTCAGACACAAACCGTTCACTACACGACTCACAACCGTTGGAACACACACTGGACTACAACGCATATATCCAGGTGTTGAATTTTACGCACGAGCCGACATAACCGTTGGGCTCTGTTGGTATGATCACATGTCAAAACACCGGCCTATTACTGATTAACGGATACACTTAACTAGCGTAGAAAGTCGCTAAAATAATGAAGTCAATCATGATCGCATAATCAGTACATTTTTCAAGTATATGTACTAGTTTCAGTGGCTACAAAAAATAACAACACTTCCAATATGAATAGTGAGTGTAATGAAGAAATAATTTCATCTTTATAAATTATATTGCATATGTATGTGAATATGCTAAAGTTCAATAATTAGATTTCTTGTCATTTAATTTTATGTTTTACACTTTCAATTAATTACTGTTTTTCATGATAAAATAAATTGATACCAGACAAGAATTTTTTTCATTAAGAAAAATTATCATTTTTTTAAAAAAATTAATAGGAAATTTTTATATTTAAAATAAACAATAATGATATAGTTGATAATTGTAAAAAAAAAAGTACTCTTAATCACATAATTATTTGACTTTGACTTCATGTTAACTTATTTACTGTTTTTTAATTACATCAGTTAAGTTCTTGACAATTAAAAATAAAACAATTAACTGAGCCAATGCATGGTAGGTAAACTAGTAACGATAATAATTAAACTCTTCATTTGAAATTCAATAAAAATTGTAGATTAGTTTGATGACATAATACTTGGACACATAAATGCTCTGTTAAAGTAACTTTAAATCGATTACTATTACTAAGGTCAATATACTGTAAGTTTTTATTGGATTACCCTTCACTTTTTGCAACTATACTTTCATTGGATAAAATAAAAGGATTTTATGTGAAATTTTACAATATGATAAATAATTTCATGGTGGTATTATTCATTTATCAATTTATAATAAATTAAAAAGGCAATAATCTAAACATATCTATTTGGAGTTTTGTTAACATTGGATTAATATTATAAAAGTAAAGCTCAATTCGCGGTCAAGTTTAAATAGAGGGCACCACTGTCTAGGATGTGGATTGATGGTTTGGTAGAGCTCACTGTCAAAAAACTGTAACAGGTTATTTTCTCTGTTCATTGACAGAAGGCCAAACTGTCTATGGATTCGAATGTGAATGAAGTATTATATGAAATAAATACTCCATTATCCACAGTGCAACGTGTTCATTGTTGTGTCAACATTAGATATAAAATTGTCTAGAATTGACACAAAAAGACTACAGTTTGTATCTTATCCAATTTTTAAATATTACGTACATAAAACATATTTCTCCTACTCAGAATTATCTCACATCTTAATTACATATTGAACACGGAATTATATCTTTCAGCAGTCTACATTCAGATCTTACACAAAGTACCAAAAGTACACTGCTTACGTTTAAACTTTCAACTGATATCAAGACATTAAGATTAACGGATAAGATACAATGGGTTCTCAGGTAATGAATATTTCAAATTGTTTTTACACTTTTTGAGTATATTAATAATATTTTTAGAAAACTATTTAATTTTTATTCTCTTTGAAAAATAAATTATTGTTTTAGGTCCATGAATTCGATGTTGAAATGACTTGTGAGGGCTGTTCGAATGCAGTTGAAAGAGTTTTAGGAAAAAAAACTGGTGATTATTTTTAATTAAAACTTTAGTTTGACATAAATGTTCTGAATTATTGAATACTTTCATAGTTTAAATATGTATTAATAAATTGTATTTTTACAGGTATTGATAATATTAAAATTGATCTCCCAAATAAAAAAGTATTTGTCACATCATCATTACCGAAAGAAGAAATTTTAGAAACTCTAAAGAAAACTGGAAAAAATGTATCTTATATTGGAACACAAGGTTAATTAAAAAAGTGAAATATTTATAAAAGATAATATATATCTGATCAATGTTGTTCGTTTTTTTTATCAGCTATCTTGTAATTAATATTAAGAATTTTGTCTTTTATAAATATGTTTTATTACAAGAATAAAAAAATTTATGATTAAAAATATGTGACAATTAAAAAGAGAATAATTATATTTAATTTATCATGAAAAAATGGTAAAATATTTAAAATTTAATATCACTTTTATGTGTATTCATAATTTTAAAGATGAAAAGTAAGAATCCAATTTATAAAACTCATTTGATAAGTTTTTTTACATTTTCAATATTCGATAGTCTTTTTTCAAAAAGAACTATAGTATCTCGGAAAGATTCCATTTGATCTGCTAATACTTCGATAAGGCTTGTTTGGCTAAGGTTTAAGCAAAAATTTGAATTTGCTTTCAATAGTGTTGATAATTCTTTAGCTTTTTGCTGGTCAAATAGTTTGAATTCTTGCATAGAAAACAATTTTTCAGTCTTATTATTCACATTATCTAAATGATTTATGATAAACTAATAAAATATTCATTTTGAACTATAATTAGAATAAATTAATTGTGAAATGTATAACTGATTAATCTACATTAATTACATTTCATGTTCAGCCTTTGTTGATTTTGTACTATTCGAAAATCACATTTATCAAAATTAGACTTCCATATTATTAGCTGTTTATCTTTACCGCCTGAAGCAAAATATTCACCAGAAGCTGAAAATGCTATAGCTGAAACACCATCCTCATGACATTTAATAGTATAAATGGGTCTTCCTTCTAATATATCTAAAATCTGAAAATGAAAATATTAATAAGCTAAAACATTCATAGCATAATAATTTACAAAAATAGTACGTTTCATACTGAGGGAGGAAAAATAGACTAGCCACGTGTTTACTACCCTCGCTTTCGGCTCGGGTTGTAATTTTACACGTGGTTTAAGCTAGTTTAATGGTCTTTCCTAGGGCTGAATATGATTTTTCGTCATACCGGTATGGAAAGTTCAACCCCTTTCCAATGGAAAAGTGAATTTTCCGCGCGGGTATGACGAAAAAAAATTTTTCCTTCAAACAAAATATTTGTTTGTTATCGTTATAGGTAAAATTGTTAATAAATGAAAATGATTACCTTCATTTTGGATTCATCTGTTGCAGTCAGCATGAAATTTTCATTAGGATGATACCTAATTTTATTAATTGGTGCAGAAGATACTTCATAATATTGGTGCAGAGTTCCAGTTCTAATATCATAAATTTTTACACATCCTCCAGCATTCGCTGATCCTATTGCCAACCCACTCGGATTCAATTGAACATCAAGTGCAGGATCTAATTAGCATTATTACAATGATTAATTCATAATTATAAAAAAATATTATCGCACAATTATTTATCAATAATTTCTAAAAAATTTTAATCTGATACCTTTGAGTTCGTGAATTGTTTTAACACACTTCCCACTTGAAACATCCCATACTTTGATAGTTTTATCATCACTACATGATATAAAAAATCGATTATCAGATGAAAATCGTGCACAGCGAACCCAGTTCGTATGTCCTACGAAAGACTTTAAAAACCGTCGTTGTTTAACGACCCATAATTTAATATTTTTATCATCTGACGCCGTAAGAAGCTGCAATCAAATTATTTTTCTTATTTTTTGGAAAGTAAAAAATATTAAACATGTTATCGATTTATGATAAAATAAAAATAATAATATATTTACTTGTTCACCATTGCAGCTAAATTCAATAGATCTGACAGCTCCCATATGAGCTTTGAAACTAACAGATTGTCCATTAGCAGTAGGAATCCATAATCGAACCGTTTTATCTTTAGATGCAGTTCCGATAAGTTCACCAGACGGAGCATATGCAATGTCACAAATAGCATCAGTGTGTGCAACAAATCGTTGAGCTCGTTTTGACTCAGAAAAATTGTATAAAATAAAAGTTTTATCTAAACTACTGGTAGCAACTTTAGAATCATTAGGATGAAAAATTACAGAAGTAATCGCTTCTTTATGACCCACAAAATTCTTATGTATTGTAGGATCAGTATCATTGTGTGACATATTTATAACGTTCTTTCTGAAAAAAAATTGATTGATTAAATTGAATTTAAGACTCACTTTTCTTACACGTATTTATTGTATAAATAGTTAATTTAATAGTTTATGAAATATGAAAATTATTTTCTTAGATTTATGTCAATTTTTATAACTCCAATAAATGGTTATTTAAGTTAACCTCACTTACCTTTATGTAAAGTTTGTTAAAATATAAAGTTTTACCAGGAAAAAAATTTTAAATTTACTTAATGAATAATAAAAATAAAAATTCAATAGTTACATTATTTCATTATTCATATAAACTCGTCGAATAGTAAAGTTTTTTAACATAATTATGATGCATTTTATAAATTCATGTTTTAAATAACTGTTGTCACAATTAAATTTCAATTAATTCATATATTTGTACACTAATAATTGAGATTTACTTACAGCAAGTAATAAATATTACTTATATAAATATATTAATGTAATACTTTTTGTTAATATAAAGTAAGTATAAATATTTATTCACAATTTGACAGTTAGAATATTTCAAAACAAATTAATAACGTTCTTAGAATACGCTAGTCATAAAAACTACTTTTTTATGATATTCTACAAACCGGAAATAGCATATATTTTTTACTTTTTCAAATTATTTGCAACAGTATGTATATCAATTTAAATATATGCAAGATACCAAATTGAGCTTTATTGTGATTAAATATTTACGATTAATTATTAATTCAATTATTTGCTAAATTATCCGATGTATTTATGATTATAAGAATTATAAGAATAATATTAATTAGTAAGACTATTTGTAAGTATAAAAAATTATCAAAAACTAAAGAGGATTTAAAAGATAAGGAATTTACAATTTCGTTAAAAAAATTTTCTTTTTTTTTATATATTTTTTTTTCTTTGTAATCTTTTTTCTTTTTTTTTCAGAACAGCTTAAGAACTAAATGAACATATTTCACATCGAGCGTGATAGTAGGCTAAATAGCAGGTTGAATTGAATCTTTATTTGGAAGATAACATGGGTATTTTGTAAAAAAGATTAAACGGAAATATAAGGAAGGTGATGAACTAAAAATATATAAACAAAATACAATATGGTAAACTTTTTTCCCTTTATCATTGTTTTTTGTATGAATGGTATGGCAATGATGATGCAATTCTTTTTTATTTTTTTCTTTTATATCTTGCAATCCCAGCACAATTGAACTAATCGTAATTGTACATTTTATTTAACTTATACTCTAAAATGCCAAAAAATGTTTAAATTTAATTTCACTTTTTTTGTGATTTTAAAAATTTTTTGTATTTATTTTTATTTTTAATAATAAACAACGTGTCTTTTTATATGAATGAAAGAAAAAATGGTTAAATATTCATCGCAGAAATACGATATTTTCAAGAATATTCATTCATCCATTAATACATTGATTTGGGAATATTTTATTTTTTAAAAAAATGGATAATTATAATCCAGCATTCATATTAGTACGCAAATAATTCCATATAAATAAATTGTACTTAGAGACATACGCCACTCCATTTTACTATTAAACATTATTTGATAAATTTATAAAAATTTTGTATCAACTATACAATAGAAATTGGAAGAAAATATTCCCAGGTGTTTGTGATGAAGAAATATTCGTACATAGCTTGCGCCTCTCTAATCACTTTTATCGATGTATATTAAATTCTAGTACGTTTTATGCGCACACGTGTAACGTGTTATCTTTGAAATGCATATAAGTTCTCATTTTTTTCATATTTTTTTTATAATAAAATTATTCTTTTTTTTTCTTCTAAACTTTGTCGATCATTTGTTGTTGCCCTGTGAAAACTGCCTTCTGTCACAACACAATAATACTTGTGAGGTGGGTTATTGTAATACACTGCTTAGCCAATTGTTTTTCATTTGCTAGCAATGATACTTCATCATTTCAATGTGTTATTTGTATTATCTACTATCTATACGACAAGTGAATTATATGTTTTTAAAAAATTCCAGTTTATATATTCCGCACAACTTACGAGAAGCAGGTTTAGTTTTTTAAGCGTAGTAATTCAATGATTCGTTCAAAAAATAATCAAAAAACACATAAAACAAAAGAAAATCTCTTTAGTTGAGACAATGAAAATGAGATAAATTTAGCTATAAATTTTAAAATATACAGAAAACAGTATATCATATCCAACATCCGAATCATGAATCATGAATCATGATGAACATTGGTAATTTCAACACACTTAATTTCAATTATTCATTATTTGAGTCTAACCTGCACTACTCAATAAACATTTTTGACAATTCTTGTAAACGAATCATCGAAAAGACAGTCTGACGATATTAAAACTGTATGAAAAAAACCGATTATTTATTCCCGTAGGTCGTGAATTATTGTTGCGTTTGTGGTTTTCCCCGTGATGCGTATCCACCACGATTGCCTCCTCTTTGACCACGGAATTGACCTCCACGACCTCCTCTATCGGCTCCACCTCGTTCACCTCTTGAACCGCCGCGAGGTCCACCACCACCACCACGTTTAAAGTTGCCATTATAATTCGAATTTCCTTCGTTGTTATAGTTCCGTTGTTGGTAGCCGTTTTGATAATTACTGTCATTTCGATAATATGTACCTATAAATATAACAATAAATATAAATTATGATAGTGAGAATGATTTATTGGAAATAAATATTCATCAATACGGCAATATTGACTACATTTAAAAACAAAAATTAATTTTACCTTGTCCACTGCCACCACGATTGTTTTGTTGGTATCCTCCTCCTCTTCCACGACCACTGTAACCATTTGTGTTATTTCTTCGTCCACCACGACCTCTGTAACTGCTTCTTTGTTCACCCCATCCTTGTTGCTGTGATTGTTGATGATCTTGATGTCCAGAATCTTGTTGTTGGTTATCATTAGACCATTCATTCATCGGAGTCTCTGGTATTTGACACCAATCAACTGTTTCGTTTGGATGATCTGTTTCTGGTGCAGCTACTGCTGAATCATTTTGGTGCTGTTCATTTTTTTCCTAGAAACAAATTTTTAACTGTCAAATTAAATCCATAAAAAAAGAAATGCATAGAAATTATATAAAGTACCTCAGTGGGTTGGGGTTGAGTCTCCGGTTGAGGTTGTTGATCAAAACCAGGTTGCTGAGATTGCTGTGATTGAATCGTTTGATTTTGTTGTTGAAAGTTTGTAGGATGTTGAGGACTATACTGCAAATTCTGTTGTTGGTGTGAAGGAGGCATTGGTATTGGTGGTGGTGGATTTGGATTAGCGAAGCCAGGAATGTGAGGCATCTCTTGAGGTGGATGTTGATAAATTACTTGTTGTGGTACTGGTACAGGTGCACCGGTGAAATTCTGATTCGTAAAAGTTTGAGTAGGAATTGGAGCATTAACCGCTGGTGGAATGTGTTGAACAATAGGTGCTTGTTGACCAGCTACATCTGGAGGATCTAGTTCAGATTCTTGAAGAAAGAAAAAATTAGGAGTTCCGCCAATGACATCATTAATACGTGGTGTTTGTTGCTGAGGTTGTTGATTTTGTTGTGGTGGTTGCTGCTGCTGTTGTTGTTGTGGTGGTGGTACATAATTAGCAGCATTAGTATAATACGGCGCTTCAACAGGTGCTGCAGGATGTGGAGGAATAGCTTGAGGGGCTACGACAGGTATAGGACCAGTAACTGGAGTTGTACCAGAGACTACTGGAACGGGTGTTACTTGAACAGGAAAATTAGGCGTTGGAATCATTGATTCTTGGGGTGGAATGTGAACATCACCGGAATTGTATTCTTTAGTTGGTTGGTCTGCACAATCAATAACAGTTTTTATTGGTGGTCCTACCGCCACAACCTTAAAAATAATAAAAAGAAATTATCATTCATTAAATCTATGATTGATAAATAATTCATTAATTAATTTTAGCCAGACTTGATCTTTGTACAAATGTATTTATTTTTATATTTTTATCTATAATAAACTTACTTCAAATGAGGCATCTACTTCTAAAGTACCGGGGCAATATTCAAGAGTGGGTATAGTTTCCTGCACTTGAACTCGATCGAAGTAACCACATTCGTTCACCAAGGTAACAATTTCTTTAAGCCTATTGTAAGTTGTCCCTACAACCTCACGCTGTTTCCCTTCAATGATTGCCACATAATGTTCAGCTGCTTTTTGGAGCTGCTGAGAAAAAGATGGTTCACCAGGTTCGGGTTGACGTTTAGCATTCACTTCATTGTAAAGATCATCCAAGAATTTCAAATCTTTTCGAGAAAGCTTCGTTGCACCATTTACACCAGCTAAAAAATCGTTACGAACTGCATTGTCACCAATATTCATTAAAACATCTTGAATCAGAAGAACTTCCCGTACCTAATAAAATGAAGATGAAAAAAAATGTAAGTGAGAGTGAACAAAATTTTGATTCAGGAGAAAAATTTATCAAATTATATGTATTACGTAAGCTATAGTAGAAAGTTATTTCTTTATAAACTGTAATATTCTGATCCATTTTTAAAAATATAATTCAGAACAACAAAAATCATAAATAAAATAATTACAGCTTAAAGTAATCATTTTCTTGACAATAACTTTTTTTTAAAAAAATTATTTCCAATCAAAACTATTGATACACAAAATAATATCTGGAAATAGAATAAATAGAAAAAATAATACTTTGGCGATATCATGTTGCACCCTTTCCAATGCTTCCTTTCTTGCCAGCTTCTTTTGTTGTTTCGCGGAATCATTAGCAATACCAACAATTTGCTTGTTCAACTCTCGAGTAAATTCCAGAGTTTGCAGTACTTCATCATACTTCGCAACTGCCGCTGTTTGATCACTATTCAATTCTTTACCGTTTTTTTGGAGGTCCTTCAGTGACTCTAACCTGCCCTAGAAAAACATAAAAAAATACAAACTACTTTCTAGTGTCTTCTAAATCAGAATTTCAAATTGTACTTTAACATAAATGAAATAAATAATTGATTATTCTATTATCAATAAGATCATATGATGATTTATTTTAAAAATAAGAGTGACTTTACATCTTATTTACTTTCTTAATAATAAAGTCCTGTGATAGTTCCAACAATTGCTCATACAAGTTCTGAGAAACGTTTTCTCGATAATTCGTTTCACAATGACATTTTGCAAGTTCTCGAATAAAGAAACATTGTGTAGATTAATATTCCGTTAGATTTTAAAGAGTTTGTACAGAAATTATGTAAAAAATCACAATTAATAAAATAATTAATGATTATTAAAATATGATGAGTCAAGAAGTATCGAAATATGAAAAAGGCAGGAGATAAGTATGATTCATCTTATCTACCTTAATTAAATCTGATTTGAATAAAAATTATTTGTATAACAACTTGTTAGATAGATAGAAATAGAGAATGATTCTGTCAGACATTGTCACAAATAACTAAATAAATAAAAACCTACATAAGTCGACAAGGTTGGGAATTCAGGGAGCCGCCATGATAAGAATGAATTTGCATAAGACGCCCGTTATGATAAATATTTGTCAGACTACTAAATATTTAATAAATAATCAAATAGTTGTAATAAAATTGTAGTTTTAAATTGCATACATATTGAATGTTGAATAAAAGAACTGTTAAAAACGATCAGTGGATAATCGTTTATTTTTCATAGATGAGCACATGGCGCACCAAAGATAGAATATGGCGGACGATGCGATTAGAGCGGCGACTGACAGATGCCCGGAAACTCACTGGATTAATAAAATGTTAGACACGACTTATTGATAATTGTTTATTACCTTACGTTTCTCCAAGTTTCGTATCTTGTGCTCGATTACGGTAATTGCTTGGCGTATTGGTTCTGTGGCCTCCGTAGAGGCCTGTTTCTCTAGTTTAGGGTTGGCAGAAGGCATCCTTCACGGGCAACAAACGCGAACTGGAATGGCAGTCGTGGATATCCGCGCGTAGGGGAAGTTTCCTGGCTTCGCGCATGCGTTGTTAGCCTCCATGACTTCTTCCCACTGTTGCAAATTTTGAAGAACAACAGACCGCTGCAGAATGTACACCCAAACGCATAAATGCCTGGTTCATACCTTAAGAGCTAGACCTATACCGTCTGAGTAATTACCGACTGAGAGGAGTTTTTTTTTTTTTTTATAAAGTTTTGTATCTATATTTTTTTTTTTTTAATATTCCATGAATAAATTCTTAGGCTAAGCAGTTTTAAATAACAATTAATATTCTCACTTTAAATAATTTATTAACTTTATTGTTGGACTGATAAACTGTTGAACTTTTACTAACAAAAGTTAAATAAAAAGGGCAAGATTAAATTAATCAATTATTTTGTAATTCTGAGCCTAAACAAATGTTCCAATAGTCCAGTCAATATGCTTTGAAAAACAGCCTAATTTAAAAGTGCATTGAACATTGATCGATTTTGTTCATTAGATTGTTTTTAGTAACGACAAACATCAGTATGAATTTGTGACCATATGCCAAAATGTGTTTTTTTGTTTATAAAAATTTAGCAATTTTTCGCATGTGTAAATTAGATATCACGAAAACAACGCAACGGAAATCGAGACATGATACGTACATATAAATTCAAACTATTATAACAGTTTGACAATTTTTCGAAGAATAAAATGAGACCAGTTTCAGATTTCTAGTATTTATGTTTCGCGAAATATTCCATTTTTTTATTGAAAAAAGCACTACAATCCTATAAACAATTAACTGTAGCTCATTAACTAATGATAATTGCTCGGATGGTATCAAAATTTTTGATAGACCAGGCATTAATGACGCCGAGTGTACACCCGAACGCATTAATACCCTCCGAGTAATTACCGAAAGAAGGCTTCTTCCACAACGCATCAAGATTGTTTTTTTCGCAAGCTGTAATAAGTGGAGTCCGACCTCTTCCATCGACAGCTTCAATATTGGCATAATGATCCAAAAGGCATTTTATTGCATCTGGTTTGTTACTTTCGCAAGCTGCAATAAGTGGAGTCGAACCTCTTCGATCGACAGCTTCAATATTTGCATAATGATCTAAAAGGCATTTTATGGCATCAAGATTGTTTTTTTCGCAAGCTGCAATAAGTGGAGTCCAACCTCTTCCATCGACAGCTTCAATATTTGCATGATGATCCAAAAGACATTTTATTGTATCGGGTCGGTTACTCTCGCAAGCTGTAATAAGTGGAGTCCGGCCAACTGGATCGACAGCTTCAATATTTGCATCATGATTTAAAAGACATTTTATTGTATTGAGATTGCTATAGGCGCAAGCTTTCATAAGTGGAGTCCGACCACCTTCATTTACAGCTTCAATATTCGCATGATATTGCAGCAATAGTTCGATAAGCGCAACAGTCATTTTTCTCTTCGTCCGGCAAACTAAATGGAGAGATCTAGAACCTTGATTATCAACAGCAGAAGGATTAGCATCGTTATCCAACAAAAATTTAGCTATCACGTAATCACATCTGTAACAAGCCTCTAAAAGTGGAGTTCGGCCATCCGAATTTGCAGCTTCAATATTGGCATTATATTGTAGTAATAATTGTAGTATACTTATTGAGCCATTCATTTTGACTGTATGGAAAATCGGTGTACAACCCTGTTGATCCGTAGCGTTAGGATTGGCATGATTTTCTAACAGATATTTAACTGCTACATCATTATTATGTATACAAGCAGTGATAAGTGGAGTCCAACCACATTTATTTCCAGCCGCTTCAATATCTGCATTGTGTTCCAGTAATAATTTTATTATTGTGTTGGATACCAAGACTTCAAGTGAACTTAATCTTTATTTAGTAACTTAAGTACATTAAAGTTTTGAGATGAGATGCTTTTCGTACAGAGATTTTGACAAAACTGATTGCTTAATCCTAGGGAACATTCTTATTTAAAGGGTCTAAATTTCGAGGGAAAGGGTAAGAGTCCTGTGACGTAACTAGAGTAGAAAAAATGATATGAACCTGTAAACAGGAAGCGATTTCACTTTGGTGAAATCGTAACGAATTGGGAACTTAAAATTTGGAAGTTTGGAGAATATAAAAAAAAGGGTTAGGACGATTTCTCTTGGAAGGTATTTTAAAAGGGCTGTTTTATGACAGGATACATAAAAAAGGAGTTCGTGACAAATATTAGAAACTCTAGTGAAATCGGTTCTTACTTATGATAATGGGAATGGTATCTAACACCTTCCTCGTTAAGTATGAAGGCATTGGTCTTCAATACTCTTGAAATAATTTAGTGTATAAATTTAAAATAGTACATAATAGGAATAACACATGAGAAATGAACAATAATTTTGAAATAATTAAGAATAATAGAACGTAAGATTATAAAAAATATATCGGTTATATCGGTGTTGTGCTTCTTCTAAGTCGGATAGCTGGTGGTGTCTGGTTATCTTCTATTCGTACTTCTGCCGGTGAGTCTTCTTCTGCAATTTCTGGAAGTGGAGTTCTTCCTCTAAGAGGTTGGTTGGACCTTTCTCGAAGAACGATGTCGCCGCTGGCTTCTTGGTATTCTTTTCGAAGATCAGAATCGAAGTTGCAATTGATAAAGTTTTTAATGACAGGTGGTAATATTTCACCATTCTGAGGACTTCGTGTAAAACAGCAAAGTCTTTTAATCCAATATAGACATCCACACCATCGACAGCAGTTAATCCAGATTATCATTATTACTAATGCTGTTAGTACGTATATTAATATGCTGTACCAACTTGAATGTGTAACGATAAATGGTTCGTTGAGTTGTTTAGTTAATATTTCGTCAAAATCATTCAATTTCTTCGATGCAAATTTTAGGTCAGTGAGGTCTATATTAGTTAGTTTCACAGGTTTCAATTTGAGAGAGATAGGATGTTCGAGTCTTGATGAATAAATACAGCAATCGTCACTTATAAGCTTGATAGGAGGCACGTAATATGTGACGTTTTTATTACCAAAATCTGTTGGTTCGATTGCGTACAATGTAGTATATCCCTTGCACTGATTGCTGAGGTGCAGGATTCCTGTTCGATGAAGGACTATGTCTTCCATGTGGTGATGGTCATCACAGACGAGAGTCAGTGTTGTTGGATCGTGTAAGACGTAAATCCATCTGTTGTAGTTGATATATGTCCAGGATTCGATAGTAGCCTTAATTTGTTTTACTTCGCAATTAGGTGGTATCTTCTTGGTATGAGATAGTAGAAGTTCCATCTCACAGTTTGGAGGATCTGTTGCTTTTATTGCATGAATGTTCGTGCAGATGTACTCTCCATTTTGATACTCGCTGCATTCAGACAACTCTTGCAAGAATACATGGTGGGTTTTGGAAAGTGATAAAAGGAAATAAGGAGCTTGAGGTTGAATATAGGAAAAGTAAGAGTGATTTTGATGTTGTATTGGAAGAGGTATGAGGTGATAAAGGTCATAGAGAACCTTTTTCGCTAATGGTATTTTGAAAGCAAAAATGACATTATTTTCGTGAAAAAATATATCTAATTTCATAAATTTATAGAATGTGATGATGTTATTACGATTTGGTTCTAAGATAAATTCGTTTTCTCCTTTGTATTTTGATAACTCTTCAAGTAATATAGATGGACTAAGTAGAGAAAGAGACGGTTGGTTGTAGATTCCTAAGTTCACAGATTCAACAAATTCTCGATATTCCTGTAACTTTTTACTTGTAAAAATTTGCAATGATAATATGTGTTCGGTCATCAGAGATCCCGCGAGTAATAATTGTAATTGGCTATTTGTCTCTGATGCAAATTGCTCGATTTGTTTTATATTTTCGTTTAGCTTGTATTCTTGGCTTTTCAGTGAAAGTAGAGAGCTATTGAAATTTTTTATGGTACTGGTCATTATTTGGACTTGGGATTTTAAAAGAGTTTGTGTTTGTTTGTCATTGTTCAGTAATGTTTTTATACTGTCAGTATAAAATTGAGCGTCGTCGGCGTCTGGTGTTCCAAACAGCCAGTTGAGTGCATATGAAACACCATTTATCAGTCCACGTCGTTTTCTAAGTTTTAGATCGCTGATCATTCCGAGAAGAATATCGTTTTGTTTATTGATAACTTGGATTTCTGATTCTATCAAGGCTAAAGTTTTTTCGCAATGATAGTGACCTTTGTTATGGTCTTCTGGTTGAATTAAACCTTTACTGCAAAGACCACGAGTTCGCGTTAGACTTTCAATCAACGTTTTTCGGCCTTCATTAAGATGAGTATAGTTAAGGTGAGTTATCAATGTTAGTTTAGAGTTGGATACTTTAGATATTCCTAATTTATCATAAAAGATTCCACTGGAATTGGTAAGGACGTTATTTTGGTAATAGGAACTAAAGGTTGGGTGAAGAGTCATGAAAAGTAGCAAGAGTATTGCGTTCATCTGGAAAGAAAAGTTTCAGTAGGTTAGTGTGGTATGTGATAACCTTTTTGCCTACTTGAACATCTACTGTTTTGTTAGGGTGTACGTGCACGATTTTAAATGGGCCTTTAAAATGGCTAGATAGTTTTTTTGATAGTCCTGGCCGGATCTGTTTTTGATAGATACAGACTAAATCATTAACTTTGAATGAAACCTTTTTTGCAGTTTTATCGTAATTTTCTTTGCTTTTTTCTTTTGAAGTTTGAGTATGATCCCGGGCTATTTTGAAAGAGACATTGAGTCTGTGTTGTAAGGATCGAATGTAATCGTCATATGTATAATGGAATTTAGGTTCTTGACAAATAGAAGAAGGTAGATATGGTTTGTAACCGAAGAGTAGTTCATAGGGGGAGTAATTCGTAGACTTATGCAGGGAGGTATTATAGCTGAACATCGCAAATTGTAAATATTCGTCCCAGTTAGATTGGTCAGCCTTAATATAATGTTTTAGATAATCTTTTAGGGTTAAATGGGAACGCTCTAATGCACCATTTGTCTGTGGGTGATATGGAGTTGTTGTCAGATGTTTAGTTTTGAAGAGACTTGCTAGTTCTTTTATTAAATTAGACATAAAATCCGTGCCTTGGTCTGTCAAAAATTTCTTAGGGATTCCAAAACTGGTGAATATTTGTGTTAGTATCTTAGCTACTGTAGTAGCTTCGTGATTCGGAGTTGGATATGCAAAAGAATATTTCGTGAGATCGTCTTGCGCGGTCACGATAAATTTGTTTCCTAATTCGGTAAGAGGAAGTGGACCTACTATGTCGATTGCTAATCTTTCGAATGGTTTTTCGGACGTCGTTGTAATTTCCATAGGTTGCTTGGTTGGTTTGAAATTCGTCTTATTTAATTGACATGAATGACATGTTTTAATATATTTTCTTATGTCGGATTTCATGTTTGGCCAAGAGTATTGTTCTTTGATTTTTGCATAGGTTTTATTAAAACCATAATGTCCTGCTAATTTGCTATCATGATTTTCTTTAAGAATTATTTTTATTTGATCTTGGTCTTTAGGATAAGTTTTCTGAGTATTTAGAATTGTTATTTCGTTTTTTGGATAGATGAATTTAATCATTTCGTTTAAGTGAGAAATTTTTATATTAGTATCTTTTACGGGTGGAACAAATACGAATTTCTGATTTCCGATTTCAGGTTTGATATTTTTTAGAGTTTCAAAGATATTCTTATACTCTAGCTTGTCGTGATGATGATTTTTGGGAAAGAGGATATAACCTATTTGATTTTTATTTTGAATTTTTGAGTATCCGTTTATTGATGATTTTATCTCAGTTAAATCGAAGTTTGTTTGTAGGTAATTTGAGTATTCGTTACTCTCGTCTAAATCTTGTGACCAAAGTATTACGTAAGGAACATGAAGTTTAGGTAATGGGGTTTTTTCGATTTCATATTCAATGACGTCTCGATTCATGTAATGATACTTGATAAAGCTTTGATAATTTAATTCAATCTTTTCGGTTTTATTAACGTGACTAATAATGTGATTTATATGTTCGGTTTGATTAAGTCGAGAAAGTCCATCTGCGTTGGAATTAATTCTACCTGGTTTGTATTTAATTTGGTATTGGTACTCACTGAGTCTCAGTCTCCATCGTACAAGTTTAGAAGAGGGATTTCTGCAATTAAACAGCCACTGGAGTGGTCGATGATCAGTGAAAATATCAAATTCTCTTCCATACAGATATGGTCTGAAGTGTTCGACTGAAGCAATGATTGCTAATAATTCTTTTTCAGTGGTTGAATAGTTTTGCTCGGCTTTATTTAATGTTCTAGAATAATAGGAGATTGGTAGGTCGTCATCGTTTTTGATTTGTGATAAAACGCCACCAATGCCTACATTGGATGCATCGCAAGTTAATGTAAAGCGAAGTTTAAAGTCGGGATACTGTAATAGAGGTTCGTTGATCAGGTAATTCTTTAATTTGTGAAACGCTTGTTCTTGATCTTTAGACCAAACGAATGGAGTTTCTTTTTTCAACAATATAGTGAGTGGTTTAGCTATAGTTGAGAAGTTAGGGATAAACTTTCTGTAGTAGCCTATCATTCCAAGAAATATTTTAACATGTTTTGGATCTTTTGGACTAACCATGTTTGAAATTGCTTGTACTTTATTGGGATCAGGTTTGACACCTTGATTTGTTATTACATGACCTAAATAGACGCAGGAGCGTTTTAAAAATTCACATTTGTCGGGTTGTAATTTTAGATTATATTCGCGTAATCTAGAGAAGACATTGATTAATTTTCTATTATGGTCCTCTAATGATGAACCGTATATAACTATATCATCGATATAGACAAAGCATTGTTTATTATTTAAACCCATTAAGACAGTCTGCATCATACGCTGGAATCGAGCTGGTGCATTTTTTAAGCCAAAAGGCATGCGTGTATACTCGTAGTGACCCTCGGGGGTCGAGAAAGCTGTTTTTGGAGCGTCTTTTGGGTC